CCTTGGTGGGTGCTGCAGCAGGGAGTCCCCAACTGGGGAGAGCTACACCAAGAAGCTTCGAGGCAGGGTCGGGCATGGCGGCCTGAGCTAGAGCATCCATAGCTGCTTTGGGTTGTCCTTTGGGCATATGGGCAAGGCCAAGTAGTCCGCCATAGCCCCGACCTATGAGAGTGAAGAGTGGGAGAGGCGGCCATGACTATGGTGGACCTCAAGTGATACCTGCAATAGAAGAGGAACTCAGACATTGATTCTGGATCAGCCATTCAATATTGTATTATTATTTCTTGTATGAATAAGAGAAGGGGGAGATAAGGAGGAGGAGATTGTTGGGCGAAGAAGAAGAGCCTTGTCATTTGTCTGTGCTGGTGTACATCATCTTCTTCTTTTTTCTTACTTCTTCTTCTTCTTCTAATCCTCTCTCTCCTCTCGAGTTCATTCATTTCTTTCTGCAATTGGACGGCATTGTACTATCTGATGGATGTGTATCTCGAAATTGGCCAGGATCATAACATATTGCTTTTATTTGGATGGTATCTTGGTGCATTGTGCTCTCTGTTTGGTACATGACTATCTGGACTACTTCGTGATTTTGCAATTTGGATTTTTGTCTATCGCTCTCGCTCATATTCCTTGCATGCCCCCATAATCGTTTATATCCTGAAACCAACACGATGCGTTCTCCATGTGATAGGTAGTCATAAAAATGATATAGAATTAGTTGGTAAGGAGCTCCCTTAATTCGTTTGCCGATCTCTACGGGCGAATTCCCGTGTGTCCAAGGCAAAGTGCTTAGAGATTGATCAGAATAATTTCGAACAAGCTACGTGACGTGTTACATTTCACAGTGAACGTAGTAAGTCCATGGCCTGATCCTGCGCACAGGTCGCAGATACCCTTCTGCCTCTTTCTCAGGTACCCATCCCAAGCCATTGTCTCAGTAGTACATATACACTGCATTTCTCTCTCTCTCTCTCTCTCTCTCTCTCTCACACACACACACACACACACACAATCAATTTTATAAAAGTTTGTTTGTCCTTGTTTTTGGTATGTTTGTCTTTGTTTTTGGTATGTTTGTTTTTCTTCTCTTTCCTATGTTTTTTTCTAAGTACGTTTGTCTCTAGCCGAGCACCCCCTAGCAGTGCTAAACAGTCGGTGGTTCCTCGTTTGGAGTGCCAACAACACTCTTAGGGGGACCGCTCAGTTCGAGTTATCTGTGTTGCCTGTCGGTGATGACGGATGGTCGTCGGCGTGTTGCCTTGGCTCAGCGGGTGATGGGAACCAACAGTCTGCGGGGTTCTATCGTGATGTGAGTAGGTCATGTGCTGCTTTGCTCCGTGTTGGATGTGTAGACTGTCTTATTTGCGCTCTGCCGCAGTCTTGCTGCCCATGCCGCTTGCTTTGCAGGTCGTCCTCACTGCTCTGCTGCCTTGCCCTACCTGCGGGTCGTGCCTCCCGTGTCTTTTGCTCGCGTGCCTGGTGGTTGGGTAGCCTTGTGGCGGTGCCTCGCTTCGCTGCACGGTTGCTCAGCTGCTTGCCTGTGGGTGATGATCAGTGTTGTCGAGCAGGGATCCCCGGGGGCAAAGCCGGTGTGAGGCTGCGGCCCCCGGACCCCCGCCGCGGGGGCCATCCAACCCCGCCACCGCCGGACGACCCCCACCGCTGCCCAGCCCCGGGTACCCCGCTGCCTAACCCCGCAGGCCCGCCACCGGCCCCGCAACCCCGTCCCCGC